GAAGTCTCAGTCACTTTGTTTTGAAGATTGCTGCAGCCCCACTCAAACAATGCCTGGTACATAAAGCAGATGCTGAGTACACATCTGCTGAAAGGATTAACTGCATCTCTGGAAAACACTGACTCTGGAAACAGAAATAGCCAAGAGGACCCTGTACTGCTCAGTAAGTCACCCAGATGATCATCAAACAAAAAGCCAAGATACTGCTACATGAGAACACACTGTATTGTTCAGTGGCTACAAGCCTGTCTCACTATCAAAGCTCCCGGAATCCACAGACACAAGGATAAAGAGAATGTTGCTTGGAGCCAGATTGCCCCAGGCTAAACACTGCATCAACCCTTGTGAACTGGTTGATGGTACAAACTGTTAAAAAATACGGCATCATAAGCTCACTTCTCCCCACCCAAGAAATGGCCTTAAATAAAGACTAGGCAACAGAATACACTCATTTCCCTGGGGGATAAATAGGGGAAAATGGCTCTTACAAAATTTTTAAAGTCCCTTTTCAATCTTCATCTCTCTTCTTGCCTTTTCTTTCTATATCTAAATAAACTATATAAAACCTGAGTTCCTATGGGCCTGGCTTAGCTACTGTCACTGCTGGCTCTTTAGGAAACAATTCTTATGTTTACTCTGCAATACTGCTGTGCCCTTGGGTAGGACATTTAACTTTGCAGGGCCTTAGTTTGCATATCTGTAAAATGAAGGAAAAGTTCTATGTTCTTCCCAATTTAAAATATTCAGAAGAAAAGTCATTGATACTATTATTAGTATATGCAAGTCAAACACTGGCCTACACTCCACTAGAAAGTACATTTTAAGCATATTTGGAATACCATGCAAAAATGGGGGAGAGGATGGCAACACTTTGAGCTAAAATTTTCCAGGTCAGTTTTACAGAACACAAAAACACCATGAAGCTTGTCATTTAACTCTCACAGTGGCTTCTGGTAAGTCCCAACCTCCTAGCCCACCCAGCAGTCCTTCTGTATAAGCTGTGGGGCATAGTCACCGAGTATTTCTAATAAAAAATGACCAAAACAGCGAGGTGTAGTGGAACACAATTTTGATTCCAGCACTCCCGAGGCAGAGGCTGGTGGATCTCTGTGAGACTAAGGCCAGCCTGGTATACACAGCGAGTTCCAGGCCAGCTGGGGCTACAGGGAGACCCTGTCTCAAAAAAGACAAAAAAAAAAAAAAAAAAACCACTATAATGTCAAAGTACCTGAGCATAGAACTGATAAGGTTGAAGAATTTCTAAATAGAAAATCATTCAAAGGTCAGCTACTCTGGCTACTGGCTCTACCTAACCTTTCTCCATCACTGTGTTACTACTGAAGAATGAAAGACTAACTGTAGCTTAGAAGCTGACATGGAAAGACGTTTACAGATTCTTGGTGAAAAAGGCAGTTGAAAATATTGGCAATAGTAATCCCATTTTGGATAGTCCCACCCACACTCATATACCTACACATATATATATCGAATACAATATATATGCATTTTTAAAATCTTTTTTGAGACAGGGTCTCCCTGTAGCCCCAGCTGGCCTGGAATTCACTATGTCAACCAGGCGGGCCTTAAACTCACAGAGATCTGCTTGCCTCTACCTCTGGAGTGCTGGGACTAAAGGCGTGAGCCACCAGCCCGGCAGGATACAATATATTATAATTTGTTAGGGAGCTTGTAATTTATTTATTTGGGGAGGATGGACATGTGGTAGACATAGCACATGTGCAAAGGTCAAAGAACAATTTTCAGAAATTGTTTCTCTCTTCACTATGGATAAGGGACCAAACTCAGGTCATCAAGCTTGGCAGCAAGGACCTTCCCACTAAGCCATCTTGCCATAAGTCTGTAACTTTACTTATTTTTATATGTTCATCTTATTTTTTTCTACAATGAACACTTTGGCTCCTAACATCATAATTCAAGTAGGTGTTTTCTTTTCACATGAAAGATGGATTTGTACTCAAATTGTCACTAGATGCATCCCTGGAACAGAGCTCAGCACTCACAGGTCTGCTGCACATTGCCACAGATGTCCTTTTCACCCTGTGCCTAAGACTGAGCTAGGATTCCAGTGCTGACATGTTTTTAGCCATTCATGCAGTAGCAAGGTGGCTCCAGATTCCTGCTTCCTGTTCACCTCAACTTTCAGAATCATCAGCTTCCCAATTATCAATAACCCTCTTAACAGATTCCAAAACATGACCAAAGGTCCTAAGCTACCATTCAGGATTTCACCTGTCAATACTCATTGACTTGGAGAATCAATGACAAAACAGCTCAAGTTACTTTGGCAGAGCTCCAATTATAAAAGCTGGTGTTAACTATTACCCTTCATTTTAGGCTACCAAATGCCAGTCCTTTTGGATCAAGGAAAAAAATAAGATCATGTTTATCAAACTCATCTTCAAATACTTTACCTAGTTCTTTTGAACATAAAACTGCTGACTCTATAAACTCCGGCATACTGAAGGTTTCTGCATTTGGAAGCTTCCAAGATCTGATCAGCCAAGAGCAGGTGTACCCATCAGGAGTGAGCATCATTACACTGTAAGGTGTTGTTCTGGCAACTCAGTCACTCACCAACAAGAAAACATCTGAGAAAATGCAATTTTCCAACTAGGGAAAGTAGAACAAAGAAAGTGGTAGATGTGGCTCAGTGGCAGAGTACTTGCTTATGATGGGTGAAGTCCTGGGTTCTATTTCATTCAGCATTGCACAAAGGGAAAAAAAAGTGTTATCAGATGAAATCAGATGGTATAGCCATAGACATAAACGGTGTTATCAAGACACACACCAAAAGCAGATAGTAAAGATGGAGGAAAGGAGAATTGAAATATGGATGCCAGTCTTCAAAAAAGTGTTTTAAGGGATTCCTCCATTGGGTGAGCCAACACAGTACCAGAGCCAGGGCTCTGCACCACATAAGCAACACCTCAGTGTCACTCCTGCATTTCCCCTAATGGGATAGCTAGTAAAGCCATCTACCTAAAAACAAATTGCTTTCTCACCTCCTCCTACCATTATCTTTTAATAAACTTTCCACAATTTAGGTGAGAACTTTATCCCACTACAAAATACTTTTAGAGACCAGGTGTGGTGTTGCGCGCCTTTTATCCCAACACTAGGAAGGCAGAGGCAGGTAGAAACGCTGTGAGATGGAGGCCGGCCTGGTCTACATAGACATCCAGGTAACCTGGAGACTACAGGGAGACCCTGTCTGAAAACGGAAAAAAAATTGAGAATCAGACTACAACAAAAATGCATACACCTGCACAGCACTATTTTAGTAATAACAATAATAATAATAATAATAATACCTGCCAACTAAAAGGATCTGAAAAATGTAACCACTGTGAGCTGAACCTTTCCTAACCCCTCAAAGAAAATACAGCAGGTTCCATGGGCAAAGAGCGAAAACATGCCTAATTACAACATGTGTATTTGGTGGATGAAGGATGTGAACATTCCTGAACTCTGGCCACACTTCAGAAGACCTCCACTTGTAATTTAATCTCACTGGAGAGGAAAGGCTGAAGATCAGTTACCCTCCAACCAGGCCTCTATCTAAGAAAGAACAGAGAAACTGACCACGTTGCTTAAAGGGATGCAAGGGAAGCCTGTGAAAAAGTAAGACGACCCTGCCTCCCTATCAAGTGCTGACAGAGGAAGTGGTTTTTATTTGAAAATTTGGGACTAAAAATAGAATTCGTTTCAAAAGTCTTCTCCACTGAAGAAAAGATGATTTTCAAGATAACATATGCAAAGGCTGCAGGCCCCAGGTCTCTGATTTCTCAACCTCAGCCCACCTGTTTCTTGCCTTACAAAAGTGAAAAATGGGAAGTCACTGGGAGATAGTGAATTTGGGAATGCCTCTATCTACATGTCGTTGATTAAATTCCAGGACAGAGATGGGGGTTGGGGAGCTTCACAAATCCAAAAAGAGAAGGAAGGCATCTTTAGTCAGGCATTGGTGAGATCAGGAACTACGGCTCAAGAGTCCTCAGTATGGTCTGGGAGTTCTGATCTCTCCAACCTCCCTATGCCTTCTTCTCACCCACCAGACTTTGCAACATTAGCTTCCTTGATGATCCTCTGAGCCTCCAGGCTCACTGCCACGGAGCAGCCTTCCCTGGGGCTGTCCCGGACCTCTCTTCCCAGATTCATCACATCTTTCGAGTCTTCGCTCAAATGCTACCTTTACAAAGAGGAAAAGGATGTCTTTTCTTTCTTATTATCTTTTAATACACTATACAGTTCACTTACATATATGTATATAAAATTTACCCAGTTTCCCTTCTTAAATAAGGTCCCGGAGAGCAGGCTCTGTATTCTGTTCACTAATACATGTTACAAGCATTCAGAACCTTACCTGGCACACAGTAGGATCTCAGAAAGGATTTCCTGAATAAATGCACTTTTTGACTAAAATTGCATAAGGATTGGACCGGGTAAGACGAACCGGGAAGAAGCGGGAGACGGTTTCACTGCGGAGAGAGGTGGGGGCCGACCCACATTCCCTTCCCTGCCCCCCCCCCCCCCCCCCCCCGCAGCGCGGAAGGGAGGCAGCGCACCACATCCCGCCAGCGGCATCAAACGGCACTAAAGAAAGCAGGCAGCGGGGCCAGGGGAGCTCTCAAGATTCATGGAGCAAGTCCCGGACAGGGAAGATCCCTAAAAGCTGCGGGCTTCTGGGGGACCCGCTAGGGTCCCGACTACGGAAACCTTCTGCTCCCGCCAGGATACCTGGGCGTCCCGGCCGCAGGACCTCGCCGTCTCGGGCCCCGAGGCGGGGTGGCCAGCGAGCAGGGCCTTCTGCCCCGGCACCTGCCTGTCCCGCCGCAGGGGTCCCGGCTGCGGCCCTCGGGGAGGCCCCAGGGCGTCCTGCAGCTTCGCCCCGCCCGGCACACCGGCAGGAAGCGCTCGGCGGCCGAACAGAGCTCGGCGTCCCTGCCCCGGCCGCTCCACCCCGGCCAGCGCTCTCTCACCTCAGGGCGCACGTACGACACGAAGGAGGGCTTGGGCGCCTTAGTGCCGCCGCCCCCGCCAACTCCCGCTTTCCCCAGCATCCCGCCGCCCAGCGAAGCAATGACGCGCGGCACCAGAGACAGCTGCCTGCTCTCCCGCTCAAGCACCGGCCGCTGCCACCAGCACCAGCGGCCGGGGCTCCGCCCATCCCTAGGGCCTCGGCGGCTGCGGCACCGCCCGCATCCGGCTCCGCAGTCGACCCCGCTCGCCCCGCCCAGGCCGTCAGCCCCGCCCCCGGCCACGAGCCCCGCCCCTGCCGTTTCCCCCGGCAAGCTCTCAGGCCCCGCCCCCTGCAGCGGGACCGCCTACAGCAGGCGGAAGGCCACGCCCACTCCCGCAGGGCTGACGGCGGAGATTCGCCTGCAGATGCAGACTCTGCCCCGCCCGCCTGCGGCAAACCCTGCCCCCAGGCTCCCTTTGATTGGCCCAAGGTGCTACCGGCTGAGGCCCGGCGTCCTGCCCTTACCAGAATGAAACTGAAGAGATGTTTGCTCTAGCCAATCCAGGAGAGCCTGCTCTCCGGACTTCCCTATGATTGGACAGCGGGAATGCCGCCCTGTCCAATGATCCTGCGGTAACTACGTTGCTGCGAGCAGTTGTTCAGCGCCGTTGCTCCCTTCGTTTGCTTGTCGCTTTGAGGTACAGCTTCTGAAAGCGTGCTATGCAGAATAGTTCTGTAGGAGTTAAAAATCTACACTCAGGACCTTCAAACTTTAAGTTTAGACGAAAGAAGAAAGGGACACAGGCAGCCGACATTAAACGGGAACTAATAGACTGAACTTATGATAAAATGTTTTGTCAGCTTCCAACGTTTGTTTGTTGCTTTGTTGCTAAGCCTAGGTAGAATATCAAAAGCTATTGAGACTCTTTTATCGGCTTTCTCGAGTTACCGATAAACCCTTCATTTCAAGCCAAGATTGCAAATAAAATACACAGTTCATTTGAATTTCACCTTTGGGGCACTTGCCTAGCACGTGCGTCTCTGAAAAAGTGGATTCTACCTCTGGTGCTAAAGCACTGCGTTAGACAGAGTAAAATAGGATGCATCTCACAAGAAGTTCTGTAGAATGGGAAAGACCAATAAACATTTGCAATTCATTTTTCAAGCGTCAGGCACCTCGTTAAGCATAAGCCTCACCAGTAACGTTGCTTTTTATCTTGCGTCTTCTCCTTCCCAAATGCTCTCCTATATAAACTATGACAGAGAAACTGGGGGTGGCAGTGCACACCTATAATCCCAGGACCCTGGAAGCTGAGGCAGAAGAGTTGTGAATTCCAGGCCAGCGTGGACTACATAGGGCGTTCCAGGTCTCGAAGAAACAAAAAATGAAGTTCCAGATTGTTTTCAGGAATGATAAAAGGAGAAGCAAAGTGGCCCCTGATTCAGTGGTGGGCTGTGAAGCAGGCATTCTGCTGCTTTTGTGTTTAGCATCTGGCCCAATTCATGAACCGGAAATATTGGCTTTTGATAGAAAATCACCAAGCAATTGGCCCTCCCTTCAGGCCATCCTGCATCCAATACTGCTTTATTACCTTGACCTTTAGCATCTACTGACGGTTAAACTCAGCTGTGCTGTGATGATTCCGGAAACTTGACTCGATCTCGGAATCTATACACTTCCCAGAAATTATGGCCAACAAATGAACGAAGTTTGTTAGTTTGTTGGGTTTGTTTTTTGTTTTTGGTTTTTGGTCAAAAATGAGAGAGAGAGAATCTCCCTGTTGTAGCCCCAGCAGGCCTGGAACTCACTATGTAGACCAGGCTGGCCTTGAACTCACAGAGATTCTCCTACCTCTGCCTCCCAAGTGCTGGGATTAAAGGCATGTACCTCGACACCTACCATGAAGGAAGTTTTTAAATGCCAAAAATCAGCTGGTTTGCCCTTGTCTGGATGTGTTCCCCACCCAAATTCATATGTTAAAATGTAATCGTGTGTAATAAATATTAAGAAATGGGACCTGTAGGAGGAGATTAAGTCTTGAGGGAAAGAGCCTTGGTGTCCTTATAAGCGAGATCAGAGGGTTCTGGCTTGGCTTCCACCATGAGCAGCACAGCCAGAGGTGCCATCTTTGAACAGAGCCAACCTCCCCAACATGGAATCTGTTGGTAAGTCGTGCAAGGCAAGTATCTATTATGTTACTAACTGTAAAGCATTCTTTACAGCAGTAGGCATAGACTAAGACAAGCTTCCAGAGTCAGTTTGGGCTCAGAGATGAACACTCACACAGTGATAGTTAATTTTTCTTAAGATTTATTTTTTGTATGTGTGTGTGTGTGTGTGTGTGTGTGTGTGTGTGTGTGTCCATATTGGCCAGAAGAGGGCATCAGATCTCTTGGCGCTGGAGTTGCAGTCAGCTGTGAGCCACCCAGTGTAGGTGTTGGGAATCCACTCCAGTTCTCTAGGAGAGCATCAAATAGTCTTAACTGCTGAGTCATTGCTCCAGCCCTGATGGATTGCCAACTTGATAGGATCTGGAATGAACAAAAGACACACCTATGGGCAGGTCTGAAGACTCTTCAAGAGTAGGTAGCACCTTCCAGTAGGTGGTGTAGATATAAACAGACCAAGGAGGATCAGTGCTGCTTGCTTCCTGTCTTGCTGATAAGTGTGCCTACTCCTACTTGCCTGTCTTGATTGGTCAATGTGCTAACCCCTGTGGCTATTGTAGCTGCCACTCCCATCCTTTACTGACATCACACTCCAAATATTTTAGCCCTAGACTGAAGATCTGTGACTCTCCAGGAATTCCAGGCCTTCAGCACCAGAATGTGACTGCTGAGGCACCCAGCTTCTCAAACTAAGCACCTACTGGACTCCCAGCTTGTCCATCATGCAGACAGCCATTGGTGAACTACATAGCCCATACTGGTTGCAAACCATTCTAGCAAATCACCTTTATAATATAATAATATAATGAATCCCCTTTGTAATTCTATTGGTTCTGTTCATCTAGCAAACTCTGCCTAATAATGTATACTTTATTTAATTAAGGAGCAGTCAGAAGCAGAATGAGAACTGAAAAGATGGTTCAGCAGTTAAGAGCACTGGCTGCTCTTACAAAGGGACTCAGTTTCAATCCCCAGCACTCACATGGAGACTAGCAACTGTTTATCACTCCAGTTCCAGGGGATCCAACACCTTCTTCTGACCTCCATGGGCATTGCATGACACAGGTACACTTACATATACGCAGGTAATATACTCTTACACATAAAATAAAAATAAATAAGCCAGGCATGGTGGTGCAGGCCTTTAATCCCAGCACTTGGGAGGCAGAGGCAGGTGGATCTCTGTGAGTTTCAGGCTAGCCTGGTCTACATAGTGAGTTCCAGGCCATCTGGGGCTACAGGGAGATCCTATCTCAAAAATAACAATAAAAATAAAAATAAAAATAAAAAAATAAAATATTAAAAAAAAAATAAAGGGAATGAGTGGAGGAAAACAAACTCCAGTCACCTTCCATCTTGCCCTTATGGCTCTCCAGCTACCAACATATTCTTTTTTAAATTTTATTTTTATTCTTATTTTATGTATATGAGTGTTTGGTCTGCATATCCATAAGTACACCCATGTCATGCAATGAGCATAGAGTCCAGAAGAGGGCATCAGAATCCCTGGAACTGGAGCTATGAATGATTGTTAGCCACCATCTGAGTGCTCGGAACCAAACCCAAGTTCTCTGAGAGAGCAGCAGTGCTCTGAACTGCTGAGCTATCTTTCTAGCTTCAGCCTACCCAGCATATTCTTAAGACCTCATAGGGAGAGTCATTCCCAGCTGACTGAAAAACCAATCATGCAGAGGTCAACTCATTCTTCATTAGTAACAAAGATGATGGCCCAGAGATTTTGAAATATTTCAATTTACATAGAATAGTTAAAAGCCACTCCCTTCTCCTAATGTTGTCCTAATTTCTCAGAAAATTCTGAGAAGGAACAAATCTTAGCTTACCTAGCAATGCATGCCAAACCAAAGCAGTTCTGTTTCTTCCTAGAAACAGTCGGCACCAATCTCCCAGATAGAGAAACACTTGATTCTGGGACACAGGTAAAAGCCATTGGCATTTCCTCTTCTGTGGAGTCACTTGAAACAGCCTATTTGTGTGTCTCACTCTACTTAACAGGTGCCTGTCACACAGAAGGATAACAACGAATATTTGTACTTGAATGGGTGAAGTGACATTATAAGAGAAGCAGAAGGGGTTTGATTGATCAATAAACAAGGAAGCAAGATATATAGGCTTTTTTCAAGAACTAAACTGCATGTATTTGTGTCTGTGGATATTTCTGTATGTGCAGCTGTGTGTGTACACATGTATGTGCATATGCATGTGGAGGCCAAAAGTCAATCCTGGGTGGTGTTACTCAGACATCCTCCACATTGGTTTTTTTTGATACAGGATCTCTCACTGGCCCAGAGCTCACTAAGTAGGGTAAGCTAGCTGGTCAGTAAGCCCAAGGGATCTGCCTGTCAGCACATCTCCAGTGTTGGGATTACAAGTGCACTGGCTTTTTGTGCGTGGGTTCTGGGGACTGAGCTCAAGTCCTGATGCTTCTTGTGCGGCAAGCACTTTACTGACAGAGCTAACTCCATGCACGTATTATTTAGTGGCCACATTCCACATTTCAACTTGAACATAGTGGTCTGGTGCCTTCAGACTTCTGTCTTTACTGGGGGAGCTGGGGCAGGAGGATCATGAATTTGAGGCCAACTGGGTTACACAGTGAGAGAGAGAGAGAGAGAGAGAGAGAGAGAGAGAGACTGAGAGAGAGAGAGAGAGAGAGAGAGAGAGAGAGAGAGACCTTTGCCTCTTGCTACAACAAAGAGTCAACTGTCTTCTGAAGATGGTGAGGAATACATTGGATTAAGAAACATATGGATTCTTCTTTATCTTGTGGCTTTATAAGAGGAAAGCCTGTGAGAAACTCTTATTGTTTTTGTGGTTGTGTGTTTTAATGTTTTTTGCTCTTGCTGCCCAGGCTGACCTCAAATTCCTGGGCTCAGGCAATCCTTAGACATCAACCTCTCCCATTGCTTAAACTACAGGCAGGGGCCATCATACCCAGCTTATTTATTTGTTTGTTTGTTTATTTCCAGTCTCCTAAAACACACAACCTAAGCTGGTTACATTGTTGGAAATCGGATGGGCCTACTCCCGTTGTATTCTGCTTTTTTCAAGCCACAGGCCAATGACCTGTT